GAATCTCAAGTAGACTGGCAGGGACCAGATATTTATCAGTCTCTAGATAGCGACATATCTGGGCATGGCCATGCACTTTCCCAAGTCCTACTATTCAGTGGGCCCATTGACATTATACTTCTATACAGTAGAAGGGACAAATCCTGTATCTGTTATTCACATCTCTAAATATGCTTAGCGGCATACCCAACGCATAACTGTACAACTACCAGTATTTCAGATAGCATTAGTTATGAATCAAAGCATACGGCCCCACATATCAGAGAATGTAATAACTTCAAGTCTGAGGATAGTTATAGCAAGGTCGATTTGAGAATACTGATAAACACATTATTGTAGATCCATGCAGTATTCTCAAGATGGGTCAATCCAGTCACATATTATCAATATAATATGCACCTACGTACAGATTAAGATATCACAATACCTATAGTCTATGAGACGCAACTATCTCATCTCGTACGTACTAGTCTTGATACGTTATGACGTCCGTATTATCATAAAGTGCGACTAGGGATATTCTAGACATAGCCTTTGTCAAGAAGTAACGGTCTCATAATCAGAACATCGTAGTCCTCATCTATTTTACTGAAGCGCTATCGTCTATGGACTGAAGCTATGTTATGTTACAAGAGATATAAAACATACTTCAAGGCCTTTCATTCATGATAAAGTGTACAGTTACATAGGTATTTGATTGCTGCTAGGGCACCTAAATACAACAAAAGCAGCTTTGAGCCGCGCGAAGGTCCAATCAGAAACGGTGAAGGGCATTGGGTCAATTGGGCGGCACGCTGGCAAATCCAGAGATTGGGCCCGGACAGGTAAACGGGCCGGGACTAGGAGTTGGGCCCAAACTAAAACATACATGTTAACCTACTAAATCAAAAAAGAGAGTGCTGAAGTAAAGCGCCGAAAAAAGAAAGCACATGGTGAATCTAGAAAATCAAACAACATAGGAGCATTGTATCAAAACGACAAATCATTCCGAAGGAAAAGAGAGAGGCAAGTGTTTGTAAAGCTATGGGGGATTTAGACGGCCGAGCCGGAAGGTCCACCCGCTTTGGACATGGCTAAGCTGGCCCCTGGATTCAGATCGCTCTGACCACCTTCCACTTCTTCTTTTTCCTCTTCTTCCGACGCACTCGAGCTCCCCCCGTCCATATAGGGACTGGGGTCGAACTCGGCCAAGGAGCGGCAGGGAGGGGGGAAGCCAAGGTCGGGGAGAGAGAATCCTTTAGGGAGCTGGGCCAGTCTATCGCGGAAGACCTGTTGGGCTCGGAAGAGTCCGCAATTGAAGGACTTGGTCCCCTCCTTGACCATCCATTGAGCCCCAGGTTTAGTTTTGAGCCAAGCAACCGTTAGCTCTTCCATCCGCTCCATCGCGACCACCGTGAAGTCAGGAGAGGACTTGAAGGATTCTACCGCTTCCTCTGCATGGCGGACCCGATCGCTCCTCTCCACTTCCAACTGCTGTATCAGATCAGATTTCTCCCCTTCCAGCTCGACCACGCGAGCAGAAACAGATTCTACCTCCAAGGATAAGGAGGCCTTGTCTGCCTCAAGGGCGACGCAGCGGTTCTCCTGGGAAGCTTTCTCCACAACAAGCGCCGCGCAGCGATTTTCTTTCTCCTCCAACTCCCTTGTGAGTCGAGCGACCTCTTCCTGCAGCTCCTTCTGCTTGGCCTCGGCTGCTTTCATCACCTCGTCCGCGGCGGCCTGGCGACCCCGTTTCCGGCCGACCACCTCAATCATCCCTAGCGTAGCCTGCGCAGAGCGGTGAGGGTTAGGGGCATAAAGAAAAGGAGTGATGCATAGAAGATCAAGACCAGTACCTGACTGAGCCTCAAAAGGACCATGTTGTCAAGGTCGTCCTCGGAGCCTGCTGAGATACGAGCCTGGTCTTCTGCAAACAGAGTGATCAGAGTCTCCAGCTGTACGTCCCATAGGCTTTGGGGCAGCGGAGGGATGCAGAGCCTCGTCGAGCGACCCCCGGTCGCCACCTCGTAGGTCACTGCAGGTGGCGAGGGAGGTCGCTCCAAGGCAATGCCTTGAGACGAGCCGACGAGGTCGCCACCCTGCATCACGGGGTGTGGAGGGGATTGGCCAGCGATGGTACCCGGTTCCTGGGTAGCATCTTCTTGGTCCTCTACCACAATTACGGCCGGCTCTCGAGAAGGACCCTCCTTGCGGTGGGATGAAGAACGCTTGCCCTGGCCCTTCGTCTCTCTCTTCCTCTTCCTCCCTGCAGTGAAGCGACTGAGCAGGAGATCGCTGTCCATCTCTTCTCCTGAATCTTGTAATTCCACTGGAAACAAAGGAAATGGTCAGCCTTGGGAAAAGGTAAACTAAACATCTGGGAAAAAGAAAAGGTCACCTACCAAAAGGACCACAGTCAAGACCTTCCTCAGGAATGTCCTTCAGCTGGTCAGGCTGATGCCCACCGGGGATGTCCCTCAGTAGGTCGGGTTGGTGGCGAAGCTCATCCTGAACAAACTCAAACCCCAACCCGGCAAGGGTTTCCTCTGTCACCACCTCTTTAATGTTCACAACTCCCTTATTGCAGAATTGGCGAGTGATGGACAAAAGGGTGGCATCAGGTGGGGGGCATGGGATGCGGCGGAAGGAAGGGCGCCTTGAACCCGTGAAAGGAGATTCGGGCCCCGTCGAAACGAAGACAAAGAAAGGCTTCCAGTCTTTGGTTGACCCCTTCTTATCACTAGCAAAGAGTTTACTGGACCTCTGGGAAAGACTGGCATAGGACGCCCAATCTTTAGGGCCCTTGGTCAGTTTGAAGGTGAATATGAAATGGTCCAAGGTCGGCTTCACCCCTACATCTTTGCACCGGACCAGGTAACCGGCGATGTACCGGTGAGAGTTGGGGACCAGTTGGCACGGGAGAAGGTCCACCACGTTGAGGAATTCGATCAACAACGGGTGGAGTGGGAAGCGCAGCCCCTTCTTCAAAGACGCCAGATGGACCGTGAAGAACCCCGACGGTGCGTCTAGAGCAGTTTGAGTACTGGTAGGTCTCATGACCTCGATGGAGGGTCCAACCATGTCAGTGGCATCGGCGAACCCCCGGTCAGTAATTTGACAATGGCACAACGCCATNGGGAGAAGGTCCACCACGTTGAGGAATTCGATCAACAACGGGTGGAGTGGGAAGCGCAGCCCCTTCTTCAAAGACGCCAGATGGACCGTGAAGAACCCCGACGGTGCGTCTAGAGCAGTTTGAGTACTGGTAGGTCTCATGACCTCGATGGAGGGTCCAACCATGTCAGTGGCATCGGCGAACCCCCGGTCAGTAATTTGACAATGGCACAACGCCATGATGTTTTCGTCCAATTCAACCCTTGAGCCCTCATCTACCGGAGTTGAAGAAGGGTATGGCACAACCCCCGATGCCGTTTGTGGCCAGGCACGGCCGATGGCGACGGCCGGGGTGATGGAGTGTGGCCGGGGTTACGGTCAGAGGCCGATTGACCGGCTTGGCGAGAATTGGACGATGGGGTAGCCGAATCGGAATCTGAGACAATCATGGTGGCTAGAGAAGGAACTGACCTAGACAGGAAGAAGAACGAGTCGGGTGAGCAGCGGAGTTGCAGACGAACGGTAGTGAAGAAGGCGAAAGAAAGAGATGGCGTCCAGTGGCGGTTTTTAACTGACAACAGGAAGGCGAATCGGCAGGCCATGATTACTTATTTGTGGAGATCGTGCCCAAATGTCGTGCGGAACCCAAGGAACGGCCCGGATCCCCGCTGGAGCGTCCACGTGGACTTTGCAAACTCCCCACTCCTCCACTTGGCCCAGCTGAGGACTAAGGAGTTGGGGGGCTTATGATGGGTCGATATCCAGAGGATGGCCCAAATGAACCATTTAAACAGCTTCGGGTCAAGCACCTGTGAAATACTCAAGCTGGGCCGGCCCAAGGAGCTGGGCCTAGTTAACCTCAGGCCAAGCGCAGCTGGCGGAGTCAATCCGGAGAAGGAGACGGAGCAGATTGGCCGTTACGGAGCCGGGAAAAGGGGATCGCGCCCTTGGCGGGATAGACTCCATCGGTTATGCATTACCTTAATTGTTTAGAGCTCATGTATAAATAGAGGGGACCCGAAAGGGGAGAACTCAAGCTAAATCAAGCTAGTAATACACACCCAATTCTCGAATTCTCGTTCTTAATTTTGTTCTTACGATCCGCTCTGTGAACCGGATCATTTGGTGGATTTATTGTCCATCAGTTCACTATATGAACATCGATGTTAGGCCAAAATCCTGTAGACCAACTTTGATTTGATTTCCACAAATCATGCCATTAAACCCCAATAAACTCCCATCCGTTACACATCGTTTTTGGGTATAAATAGGGGTCTTTTGGGTCTACTTTTCACAACCATTCCTCACACATTTCATAGCTTTACATTGCATCATTCCATAAACTTTTTTACATAGCTTTTTAGAGCCATTTCTTGAGGAATTGAGTGTGTTCTTGATCTAAATTAGTTTACTCATATTCTACTCTTCAAGAGAGTTTTTGTTCTTGAGTGGTTAAGTATTGTGAACACTTTAAGGGAGGTTTGTTCCCTTGGTTGTACGAAGGAAGGACATATTCCTTTGAGTTGAAATCTTGGAGTGCGGTATCTCCGAGATAGTGTATTGAGGCTCGTGGGACTCGAGTTCTCAGGTTGTAACGGTTTGTTAAGCACCCGTAAGGTTAACGGAAGTAGTGTAGCTCGAGAGAGTCTCTCGGGAGGCTTGACTAGCCACACGTTGTGGTGAACTAGGGTAAAAACGGTGTGCCTTCTCTTAGCTCTTTTACTTTACGCCTTTAAATTTTTATTCCAGCGTTACTTTTGTTTCAAACGCTATTCACCCCCCTTCTAGGGTTGGGACATTACTGTAACAGGAAAATGGACGTCAAGACGGATTTCCTTAACGGGAACCTAAAGAGGATGTCTATATGACACAGCCTGACGGTTTTACAATTACTGGTGAATCTGCCAAAGTATGTAAGCTGCAACGGTCAATCTACAGATTGAAACAAGCATCTCGGAGTTGGTATATATGCTTTGATGAAACCATCACTAGTTTTGGTTTTGAGAAGAATTCAGATGAGTCTTGTGTTTACAAGAAGGTCAGTGGGAGGGTGATAGTATTCCTAATACTACATGTCGATGACATTTTGTTAATGGGTAACAATGTTCCTGCTCTTACGTCTGTAAAGACTTGGTTGAGCGAGAACTTTGCCATGAAGGACTTGGGGAATGCTAGTTATGCCCTTGGCATTAGGATCTACCGTGGTAGGTCAAGAAAGTTGATAGGTCTATGTCAAAGTACATATATAGATAAGGTCCTTGATCGATTTAGCATGTCTAACTCGATAAAGGGATCCTTACCTATGTTACCTGGCATGGCTCTTTCCAAGAGCCAGAGTTCTTCTACTCTCGAGTAGAAGGAACTCATGATGAAGGTCCCATATGCTTCTGCAATTAGTTCCATCATGTATGCCATGATATGTACTAGACTTGATGTCTCATTCGCTTTAAGCATGACCAGCAGATACCAGGGGAATCCAGGTGAAACACACTGGGCAGCGGCCAAGAACATCCTAAAGTATCTTCAGAATACTAAGGATGCATTCCTGGTATGTGGAGGCGAGGAAGAGCTGAAAGTGATCGGTTACACTGATGCGAGCTTCCAAACCGATCGAGACGATTACAAGTCGCAAGCACAGTATGTGTTTTGCCTGAATGGCAGAGCTTTTAGCTGGAAGAGTTCTAAACAGGACACAACTGCCGATTCAACTACAGAGGCTGAGTACATGGCTGCTGCTGAAGCAACAAAGGAAGGTGTTTGGATAAAGAAGTTCATTTCTGAACTTGGAGTGGTTCCTAGCATTAATGACCCAATCCCGTTGTTCTGCGACAACACTGGGGCCATTGCATAGGAAAAGGAACCACGATTTCACCAAAAGACCAAGCACATTGTATGACGTTATCACATCATACGAGAAATCGTAGATAGAGGTGATGTGGAGATTCGCAAAGTAGGAACAGACGACAACATAGCCGACCCCCTGACCAAGCCCTTGGGAAAGCTAAAGCATGAGGGTCACACTAGCTCAATGGGCATTCGACCAATGCCAGATTGGCCATAGTGCAAGTGGGAGATTGTTGCAGTTGGTGCCCTTATGGCAAACTGCTGTCGTAATATCCTAGATATTTTCTATCATGTAAAGGCGGATGTAATAAGTTTACAAACATCTCATGCTAATGTATACTCTTAATTACATTCCTATAATTATATTATAAGATGTTTATCAGGATGAGTCTTCTGATCTTGAGACTGACATCTTGTCACTTAGTATAATTTTGAACGGTCTATAGTCGAAGCATTAACGAGAGCGGGATATCGTTAGTGCGTGTGAGACTAGTGAGAGTTAGATGTTTGACATAGTCTCTTGGTCAATGATAGAGTGTTCGCATCTATTCTTGGGCAGATATTACCGTTAATAATAGGATGCCAAACCTGACCCACCTTAAGGACATTTCCTAGACTTTTAGTCTATGCTCTAAGTGTCCTTAATGCGACTATTGGTATAAAGATTCTTAGACTTGAAGTATTACGTTCTTCGAATGCGTGAACCTGTATGCTTTGATTCATTGTCCTAAGCCGTATGAAATAAGAATGGTACACAGGCTTTGTATTGGGCATGCCGCTGCACGTATACGAAGACGTAGATTACGTACAAAGAATTTGTCACTGCTACTTAAGCAGAATAATGTCTTGTAGGGGCCCACTGATAAGTATGACTGAGGAAATGCATGGCCATGCTGAGATGAGTTTAGACATATGTTCTCATCAGTCAGACTTGTTAATCAATAAATAACTTAATGGCTATAGGTTGGCTATTTTATATCTCTTGCACTAAGTTAAGACATTGGGACAAAAGGATCTACGTTATACAAAGTCTTAGTCGTAGAAAGGTTTTGACAGAGCAAACGTTTGAACTTATAATTTGGGGGTAATAATTTGATGCTAGATACCACTTATTACTTATAGTATTGGTGTAGAGTCAATACTGTGGCCAGTTATATAAGTGCCTATATGGGTCACACACTTTGAACAATTTAAAGAGTAGGATTATAAGAAGGGATAATATTTAATTTGTATATTGTAAAATAGTAAAATAAAATGTTTAATATAATATATATGCATATATATTGTACACGACATACATACATACATACATACATATATATATATATATATCTGTGTGTCTGTGTCTATATATATATATATATATAAGTAAAATTTTATCAAATATTTAATATGGAAGAAAACCGAAGATACATCAATGAGTAGAGCCCCCCTGATATTTTTGGGTAGATGCTCCAATTGAGAATAATAAGTGCTGAAATCGTTATTAAGTGTAAATTTTGCGAGGTTGTCTGCCACAGTGTTTGCTTCCCGATAAATTTGACTTATTTTCCCCCCCTGATTTCTGTATTATTTCCATGATTTCTTTGTGGGAGGAGTTGGATGATTCTTTAATTTTTCTCACCCCATTCTTTGAGTCCATTTAGAGATTAATAGGTTGACCAAGAAATTTGCTGCGTTTGACTCCTAGTGCTGCTGCCTTTACTTCACCGTCTTCTGGGTCTATTTCGCCCTACGAAATTTGTGTCCATGCTCCAATTAAATTTCCATTTCTCTGCTGGATGATCGCTGCTTTGGCCATACAATCGTGTGAAATTGCAACATCAGTGGTGACGCAGAGTCCTTGCTTTGGGAAAATCCATCTAAAGCTCTGTATTGCTCCCATCTTTGTGACTGGTAGAGGGCTAGTGATGCTGGTTGCTTTCCCTTTAATTGCGCTATACTCGTAAATCTGTTTGATGATTTGGTGTTGTATCTGGGCTGTTGTATGTTCTTCATCATTGTAGATTTGATAGTTCCTCTCTTTCCAAATAGCGTGCATTATAAATCCTGGTAGTGCAACTCTTAGGTTGTAGTCCTTTGTGTTTTTTTAAGTTGATTCCACAAGTTTAAGAGGAAACTTCTTATGCCATGCTTGACACTTCTGTGAATTCCATAGAGTTCCTCAAAATAATTCCAGATTTCTCTGCTGAAAGGGCATTCGTGTAGGGAGTGCCATGTTGATTCTTCACTATACCTGCACAAGAAACAGATTGATGGGAGGTTATATCCCATTTTTGTTAGTTTTTGGGGGTACGGTAAGAGACTATGGTAGAGTTTCCAGAGGAAGGTGGAGAGTTTGGGTATTTTGGTGGGGTTCCATATGAAGGACATTGCAGGTATGGGTGGGTTGTGGGGTCTCAGGTTATTTGTTGCAAGTTTAATTCTTTAGTCCATTTCCCCAGTGTTCCATTTAACTCTATTGTCAGCAGCGATGCCTAATGTGAGTGGTTCTTTTTCATTAATTGAGCAAAGTCTTCTCCATGTGGGTGAATCAATTTCCTGGGGATGAATGTTGATTCCTCTAGGATATCTGGTTCTCATGTAGGCAGCCCAAAGGGAGTCATTTTTTATGTAGCTCCACCACATCTTAAGACCATAAGCTTCCTGTAGTGTGATGAGGGAAGTGAGTCCCAATCCTCCTTCTTCCTTAGGGTAGCAGACCTTTTCCCATTCCATCCAATGGTAGTTGTGTTTATCTTTAGTCCCCCCCAAAGGAAGTTAGACATCTTCATGTGAAGAATATGGATGATGCTTTTTGGGAGTTGTGTGGATCCAAGAGTATGGATGGGGATGGAGCTTAGTACATGCTTGATTAGGGTCACTTTACCACTTTGGTTGAGTAAATTTTTGTCCCATCCACTGAGTTTTTTCTCAAAATGCTGCAGAAGGGGTGTGCAGTATTGCTTCCTGTTGATCCCCCTGTGCATCTGGACACCTAGGTATTTGAAAGGAAGGGTTCTTTTTTTCATACCTAGTGTGTATTGTTGCATGAGGGAGACATGTAAGGGTGTTTTACAGGGGCTTTAGAAATTGCATTTCTGTAGATTGACTGTCTGTCCTGAGGTTTCCTCATAGTGTTTAAGAAAAGTCTTGAATATGGTGAGATTTTACTTCCCCCCATTTAGGAAGATGATGAGGTCATCAGCATAGGCTAGATGATGGATATTCATGTGATTTCTTCCCATCTTGTAGGGCCCAATTTTTCCAGATTGCATGTAGGCATTGAGGGTTCTGCTAAATCCTTCAGCAGCTATGATAAACAAAAGAGGGGAGAGGGGGTCTCCTTGTTTAAGTCCCCTCCCTGGTCTGAAAGGTTTAGTATTATGTCCATTGATGGAGATGGAGAGAAGAGTGGCTTGTAGAAGGTTATGAAGGAGAAGTTGGAATTTTTTGTCAAAACCAAATTTGTCTAGTATTGACAATAGGTATTCCCAGGAATTTCTGTCAAAGGCCTTAGACATGTCCAGTTTTAGGACCAGATTTCCCCCTCTTGTGTCATGGTTAATACCATGCAGCATCTCATGGGCTAGAAGTACTTGTTCATTTATGGACCTCCCTTTCACAAAACCCCCCTGCTCCTTAGAGATAACCTTAGGAAGAAAGTTACCCAGTCTTGTTGCAAGAATTTTGGGAATGATTTTTGCAGCAAAATTGGAAAGACATATGGGTCTGTAGTCTTCACAGTAGGATGGATTCTCTTTCTTAGGGATGAGAATAATAGTGGATAGTGCCATCTGTTCTGGCATCTTGATTCCAAGGAAGAAATCCTGTGCTGCTTTAGTGACATCCTCCTTTATCCAATTCCAGTGCTTTTTGTAAAAGTTCCCATTGTAGCCATCTGGCCCTGCTGCACTGTTAGCTTTCAGAGCCCAGACTGCTGTTTTCACTTCATCTTCTAGGGGGAGTTGGGTAAGAAGGAGGTTATCCTCTGGGGTTATGAGGGAAGGGATGTTGATGGTGAAAGAATTATTGAGAGGGGTTTGTTCATGTTGAAATAGGGTGTGAAAGTGCTTGTGAAAGGCATCCTAGATTTCCACCTTGTTGCTTGACCAGTTCCCACTCTGGTTTTTGATTTTCCTGATGGTTTGATGGTGTAATTTTTCGTTGACTTTGGAGTGGAAAGAAGTTGTGTTAAGATCTCCTTCTTTTGCCCATTTTAGGTTTGCCTTCTGTTTCCAATATAGGTATTCATCATGTGCTGCTAGGATTAGGTTTGCTCTGACAGCATTCATAGTTTCTATTTTTTCAAGTGTTGGGAGGGTATCAAAGCTAGTTTCAGCATCTTTGAGTTGGTTTTCAAGGAATCTGACTCTGGAGAATATATTGCCAAAAGTGTGCTTGTTCCAGGTGCAAATGGTTCTTTGTAAGGATTGGAGTTTTTGAGACGGACCATGCATTCCTCCACCTGTGTATCTGCCCCAGTGTTCTTCAATGAGCTTGTCAAAGGAAGGGTGGTTGCTCCAGCAGTTAAGGTATCTGAATGGTTTATGTCCTTTGAAGATTGGGTTGTAAAGGGAAACAAGTATGGGTGTGTGATCAGAACCACATCTGGCCAGGTGCTCAGAGGAGATGCTACTAAAATTGCTGGCTAGAGTATGGTTATGAAATATTCTGTCAATTCTCCTCCAGGTTCTTCCCAATGATCTGATGCCAATCCATGTGAATGGGGTACAAGAGTATTCAGGACTTAGGAGGGAGGAGTTCAGGATACAGTTATCAAAATCTCCAATGCTAGTCAGGCAAGGGGAACTTTTCCCTTTGTGATGGTCTACAGAGGTAATACAGTTAAAATCTCCCCCTAGAATCCATGGAACATCTGTGTTGCTGGCAGTGGTATGGATGTTAATCCATAAGGGAAGTCTATCTATCCTAGAGTATTTGCCATAAACTGATGAGTGGAGGATGGGTGTGTTGTTTTGTTTTATAATGAAGTTAATGTTGGTGATTTGGTCCAGGTGAATATGGGAGATGTGATGCAGCTGGCTGTCAGACCACATGATCCACATTCTGTTATCAGGAGAGGAGATTGGGTGGGTGAAGCCAAAAAGTACCTGGTAATGCTGAAGTTTGGTTGACTTGGCTTTGGGTTCAAGGATTGTAATTATATGTATTTTGTGTTGTTTGATTAGCAGCGCTAGCCTTTGTGATTTTGGGGCTACACCATAGGCATTCTAGAGGATGCAATTCATTGTGATGGGGTGGGGGGTAAACTGTTTGAGGATGATTTATCTTGTAGCCTTTTTGATTTCCTGATGGAGGAGGGAAGTGCTTTGTTGGAGGTGTGATCTGCAGAAAGGGGTTGGTTAAATGGGGGTTTAGGGAGCTGCAATGTAGGATCTTCCTATTTGTGGGTTGTTTTTTTATTCTCAGAAGTCTGCTCATCATCAGAAAGGAAATGGAGATTGTTTTGGGCAGAGAGTGGTATATCTAGATCATCCTGAGAGTGGTTGGTATCCAGAAGGGTTGTGACTGGTTGTGATATTGCTATGGTTTTAGGTTGGCGTTTGTCCCAGATTGAGATGCATTCTTTGAAGATGAAATCATGGAAAAGAAGGTCAGCATCTTCATCTGGTTCAACAGGTGTGGGTAAAATGGTAGGGGAATTTACTGTCTGTGGGGTTTGAGTTTGTGTTGGGGATGGGGAGTCTGGTGTTTGTTTTGTAGTGTTTTGTTTTGTAGTTTGAGTGGGAATGGCTTCTTGGGTGGGGATCAGAGGGGTCAAGCTGATGTTTTGGGAGGTAGAGGCTTGATCTGTAGTGGGTTGGATATATTGTGTGATGTTATTTAGAGTGGGGTTCCGGATGGGGCCCTTGTGGATGTTCCTTGTTGGCCCTTTGTTGATGACCTTGTAGTGGAATCTTTCCGCCGGGTTTGATTCCGGCAGGGTATTCCGTGCAGGTTTAGGAGCTGGGATTTTGCGCTGGGGGTGCAAAATTTGTTAGAATAAAAGACTAACGCTAGAGGGGGGGTGAATAGCGTTTGATCAAAAATCGCAGGAACAAAAAATGAATAAACGAGAAGTAAAGAGAAGAGTAAGAGGCACACCGATTTTACCCTGGTTCACCACAACTCATGGCTAATCCAGCCTCCCGAGAGACTCTCTCGAGCTACACTACTACCTCGTTAAGCTTAGCGGTGCTTAACAAACCCGTACAACTTGAGAATTTGAGTCACACGAACCTCAACGAACCTTCGAAGGAAACAACCCTTCCTTCGAACAACAAGAGAAATACCTTCTCTTGTCAAGTGTTTAAGAACACTAAAAACACTCAAGAACAATACTCTCTTTTAGAGTGGATAATGAGTAAACTAAGAACGCTCAAGAACACAACACAAGCTTCACAAAAAATGGCTCTCAAAAGCTATGAATAATTGAAGAATGATTTGCAATGAAAGAGTAGGAGTTGTGAAGTAATGTGATNCAGCGCTGTCCTAGGCTTGGACATCGCTGTTCTAGGCTTGCGTTTTGAAAAATGGGAAGCAACGGTCATGCCAACAGCGATGTCTAAAATCCCTACATCGCTGTTTTGGCTGTTGACTTCCAAACAAGGAAAGTTTTAGCCTTAAATTCCTTCCAACGGTCAGGTCTCTACATCGATGTTCCATACTAGAACATCGCTGTTTAGGTCTGCCTTTGAAGATGGAAGTTTGGCCTGACAGCGCTGTTTCTGGGTCAACATCGCTGTCCAAAAACTTTCTGCCAATGCACAATATCTTTGGCTTAGGTTGGACAGCGATGTAGGGAAGCCTACATCGCTCTTCCAGAAGATTCTGGAAATCCAACCTTGGCTCAACAGCGATGTCTAATGTCCAACATCGCTGTTGGAGGACTTAACGCCCAACCATGTTTTTAGCTACCCAAGCCAGACAGCGCTGTTGGTTACCTCAACATCACTGTTGGGCTGGTTTAGCGAGACCCATGGTTGGTTTAGTCACGCCGTTAGCCGATGTCAAAAACACAAGTTCTCCAAAGTAAAAACCAAGTATTGAAAACATTTGTTTATTGCATTTTGCTAAGAAACCAAGTAAAACATTTTAAAAACCACGTCATTTAGTTGAAAACCACGACTAACCAAGTTCGTGCCGTTTCGCATGGTTTTCACTAAACGACCAAAAACGGAAAGTGGTTTTTGAGGCGTTTTTGTTGGAGAACTATTTAAAAATGCCCAGAAGTAAAAACCAATCATTAAAAGTTGAAAACCACTTGGTCGATTTGAATGCCAAAAACCAACGCCGATAACCGAAAGCCGAACGCCGGTTTCCGAAGACCGAACGCCGGATGGCTTGGTTTTTGGTTTGGGTGAACTCCAAGTGTTTTCAGGCAGGTTTAAGACTTAAGAAAATCATTTTGAGTACGCAAAAAAATATTTTGATGAAATGAGCCTAGAGAGCCATGTTTTGACGGTTTGTGCCGGTCTTGATCACATTAAAACCGAGTCAATATAATTCTAAGTCTTCGTTCTTGATTCTTGGTTCTTAGTTCTCAGTTCATCATGCCATGTTCCTTCGCTTTGGTTTTGCTCAGTTTGACCTTGTTATTGTCACGGCAGTTTGGCATTATCAAAACCTGTTATAAAACGAGCACGGCTTAGTACGACATTGGCGTAAACCTGTGTTCCAACAATTTCCCCCGTTTTGATAATGGCAAACAAGACGGGAATATGCATACTAAGGTATATTTGACTTTGAAAAGAGTGAAAAAGTTCCCCCTTAATTTGTGCTTAAAAAAAAGAAATTGTCATATTAAAATCAAACGATCCCGTTTTTAGGGACGTTCCCCCTTAGTGTATGCATAACCCTTTTCTTCCCCCTTTTGACATTAACAAAAAGATAGAGGATAACAAAAAGGGAAATAGCGGAGTACAACGGAAGCATTAAAGAAACAAGATAAAATAAAAGAGATAGAAATTCTAGGGGCGTCCTAGTCTTCGTCTTCGGTTTCCTCCTCCTCCTCGTCGACGTCCATCTCATCACCATCAACGGTGTCGTCGAACTCGTCCTCGTCCGGGGAGCTTGACGGGTCGTAGGAGGCATCGTCTTCGTCCTCGTCACCGTATACTTGCCCAAAGAACGTGCCATGGTACGGTGGGGGGACGTAGTTAACGCGTTGGAAGTACGCGTTCATGGCGTACCCTTGGCGTTGGACCGCCTCGTCAAGTCTTTCAAGGTAGCCATCCATCCCATCAACTTTGAAGTGCATCCGGTTGAGAGAGTCAGCAATGGAGGCAAGGTTGGCCCGGGTCTGGGGTTCGGCTGGGCCAGCAGAACGGGGCTGTGGCACGACAGTGGCAGGTCCGGCGTTTTCCAACCGCTTCTTGAAGGTTTGGGTGCTGATCGCCCAAATCTCCGTGGCCTTTGTGAGTGGGCCAACGGTGGTGGTCACCTTGAACCGTTCAAGGATGTCCATCACCACGAACGGGTACGGGAGGAGGTGATCGTGGTCGGTGGACGCGACAATCGTCATGTTGATCATGACAAACTTTGCCCAATTGATTGGGGCCGAGTGCATGATCGCATGGATGAGTTTGAGGTCTTCACCGGACATGATGGTGTGGCCGTGCTTCCTGGGTTTGATGATCCGGGAGACGATGTAGAGAAGAAGACGGCCTTCGGGGTTAGCAGAGTGGATGGTGGGGCGTCCCGAGGCATGGCGGATGAGCTTGGTGATGCCAAGCTCGTTGAGGATAAGGCCCTCGTTGTTGAGCACCCAGTCCTCTCCGCCATAGAGGGAGACGTCGTCGCCTTGGTAGGGGAGGCCGGCGATGCGCCCAAGCTGCTCAATTGAAAGTTATATCGGCGTGCTCTTGACAAGAGAATAGAGCACGTCGCCCTCACGCCGGAGGTTGGAGTAGAAGACCCGAATCAGCGCCGGGTTGATCTCCTTCCGAGCCCGGGAGACGAAGGGCCAAAGGCCGGCCTAATGAAGTTGCGCGTCGAGGTCGTCGTAGCCCTGCAGCTCCGGGTAGCGCTCCGGGATGATCCGTGGAGGAGCCACAACCCGTTTAGAGAAGAAGGTGAGGAAACGGGTGCGTTCCTCCTCGGAATCAAACCAAAGGTATGACCCGTCACCATAGTAGAGGCGTTCCTCGGTGGATGTCGTAGGCTCCCGGGATTTGGACTTTGATTTCCCGGAGGTGGCAGCCCTGCTCTTGTCCTTGCCCATTATAAGAAAACTCAAGAGAAAAGAGTATAGATGATGAAATAAGCAAAGATGTTGAAGAGAATTGTGTTTGTGTGTGTAAAAGTGAAGAGAGGAGGTCCCAATTTATAGAGAAAGAGGTCTCCAACGTCCAAATTTTCAAAAAAATGGTTGTTGGAACAATTAATGCTGGTGCCAACGGATATTTTTTTGAAAAATTTATCCAGAACAGCGATGTTCCAAAGGCTACATCGCTGTTGGGACAGCGCTGTTGAGCCTTTGGACAGCGCTGTTATGCGTCAAGTTTTAAAAACAAGTGTTAAATGGACAGCGATGTTGGGTTCCCAACAGCCATGTCCCAAATCATTCTGGAATTGTGTAAGGGGTTGAACCCATTAGAACAGCGTTGTTGGGTTCTCTACATCGCTGTTTTACGATAGGAAAAAAAATTTGTAAAAGTGTACATCGATGTTGAAGGTAAGACATCGCTGTTAAAAAAGTTTCTGGTTTTGGTTGAAAACAAAATGTTTTGGGTAGACAGCGATGTTTAAAAAGGAACATCGATGTGCAAAAAGTTTCTGGAAAGTGAAGATTTAAGGGACTCCCTGGGACAGCGCTGTTGGCGTGTTGTACAGCGCTGTTGGCACAAACTGGTTGACGGTGTTTCTCTCAACAACGCTGTTTGGTCTCCTGGACAGTGCTGTTTGCATGGTTCCCCCTGATTTCATGAACGCGGTACCTGCAAAAAAGAAAAAAATATCTCCGACGCTCAAGTTAGTAAGCGTTTAATAAGTTTAGATGCATAACTTAGATCATCGTGGAGTCAAGGATTCCGAGTTCACTTCGAATGCGGAAGAACGACTCTTTCTCTAAAGGTTTTGTGAAAATGTCGGCTAATTGGTTGTGTGTTTCAACAAACTCAATTTCGACATCACCTTTGAGAACATGATCTCTAATGAAATGATGCCTAATGTCAATGCGTTTCGTCCTTGAGTGATGAACGGGGTTCTTCGTCAAGCTTATGGCGCTAGTATTATCACAACGAAGAGGGACGTGATTGATACTAAGGCCATAGTCCACGAGTTGTTGCTTCATCTAAAGAATTTGAGCACAACAACTACCGGCGGCTACATATTCCGCTTCGGTTGTGGATAACGCAACACTGACTTGCTTCTTACTAAACTATGAGACTAGAGAGCTACCAAGTAAGTGGCAAGTCCCACTCGTGCTTTTACGGTCCAATTTGCAACCGGCAAAGTCCGAGTCGGAATAGCCAACGAGATGACAAGAAGAGCCTTTTGGATACCATAGTCCAACGTTTACCATGCCGGCAAGATATTTCATAATCCGTTTTACCGCCGTTAAGTGTGATTCCTTTGGACACGATTGATACCTTGCGCAAAGGCAAACGCTAAACATGATATCCGGCCTACTAGCAGTAAGATAAAGAAGGGATCCGATCATACCTCGATACTTTTTGACCTCTACTTCCTTACCTTTCTCGTCTTTGTCAAGATGATCAGACGTGCTCATCGGGGTCGCCATGGCTTTGGCGCTGTCCATTTCAAACCGTTTTAGAAGCTCCTTGCAGTATTTAGTTTGGCAAATGAACGTGCCATCTTTCGTTTGCTTAACTTGGAGTCCCAAAAAGAATGTGAGCTCACCCATCATTGACATTTCAAATTCGCTAGTCATTAGCGTTGAGAATTCCTTGCACAAAGACTCGTTAGTAGCACCAAATATAATGTCGTAGACATAAACTTGAACCAAAAGGATGTTATTGTTTTTACTCTTGATGAAAAGAGTGGTGTCTACCTTTCCCCTTTGGAAACCACTATCCAAAAGAAATTTACTCAAACGTTCATACCAAGCACTGGTGCTTGTTTAAGACCGTAGAGCGCTTTCTTGAGTTTGAAGACGTGGTCGGGAAACTCAAAGTCCTCAAACCCCGGGGGCTGGTCAACATACACTTCCTCTTGAATAAAACCATTGAGGAAGGCACTCTTAACATCCATTTGATAAAGTTTAAAATCCATAGACGAAGCAAAAGCAAGAAGTAAACGGATAGCTTCTAAACGTGCTACAGGTGCATACGTTTCTTCAAAATCAGTGCCTTCTTCTTGATTGTAGACTTTAGCTACGAGCCTAGCTTTGTTTCTAGTGATTATTCCATTTTCATCAAGTTTGTTACGGAACACCCATTTCGTACCAATAATCGTGCGATCATCAGGCCTTGGCACCAATTCCCAAACGTCATTTCGTTTGAATTGGTTTAGCTCCTCTTGCATAGCCAAGGTCCAATGTTCATCGTTTATTGCTTCGGAAATGGTTGTAGGTT